GACTTTCGGAACTTTTGCATTCGTTCATCTTTGCAGCGTAATTGAGAAATCCCTGACGTGCATTCAATATCCTTATTAAATGTTCATTTTGTGGATTTTCCATTGTCTTATCGTGAACAATATTAGCAGGTCGAAACCGCGTTGGAGGAACTGCAACAACGTCTATAAAAAACATATTCGCATTGACGGCTTTTGGAGATTTGTGACGAAAACCCATAACATCCGATAAAAGTCCCTGAGCGCAATATAACATTGTACACAGTTCGGATTCATTTACGAATAGCTTAAGAAAATGATCACGCAAAGCTCCAGGAGTAATAAATTCATTTCCAAATTTTGAAGACGTTGTATTATTATCAACTTCATCATTTTCCGAAATAATTTCTTCTGCAGGAGAATTTCTCTTTCTAGATTTTATAAAATGATCCCCTTGTAATTTTTGATATTTTATAGATAATTGTTTTCGAAAAATTTTGGAATATCCTTCCTTTTTAAATGATGCAGAAAAGCTATGAAATGTATAACAAATATAATCAATAACGAAAATATTAAGGTAAATAATCATTAAATTTGTAACTTACGAGCCACAACGTCCACATTGCTTGATTTTGGAACAAGTATGCAGAAATTCCAGAATGATCTTTTTTCTTTCTGCAATTATGGCTGTAAGCTTATGTTTTTCGTCTCCTTTTTTCAGGCTCATTTTCACAAATTGATCTTTTTTTTAAAAAAAAATTGTTGTGATAATAATAATAAGTACATAATGCATATGTTTAGAATGAAGTAACAAAGAAATCCATACCGAGCGCACGAACATGTTCGGTCGTTACCGAATCAGGTGAATTATTTAATTTGTCATCATCATTATTTTCATAATCATTATCGTTATCATTAAATAAAGAATTATTAAAACCAATTCCATCTACCATTTGTGATTCCAAGAGTAACCCATGTTTTAATAATTTTAATTTAGCAGTATATTGGAATGTCTGATGAAATATCAAAATGGTTAATATGTGACTTTAAATAAAAAAAGATAATTTATTCAATTACCAGTGATAAATTAAGTTTAAAATGATGACATTCGAGACATATAGATCGCAAAAGTGCAAGACTATGTACAAAGAACAAAGGATTATATACAGGAACGGGTAATTCTATATGTCCAAAATGACCAGGACAACGATAGAAATCAAGATTACATGTCCCACAACTATAGATAAGCATAAATATATATTATTTTAAGTTGATTTTAAATACACAACCAAATGTTAAGTATTAAATTACTTCATACAAGGCACTATGAGTGAATGGACCTAAGGCGGGATCATATAACCCTCCTTCGTTAGGAATACCGACTGCGTCAAATATAATAGGATCGACTATTTCTTTGACTGATAACTTCTTGATTTCTTCGGATGTATAACAGGAAAATGAAGCCTTACTGACTTCATTACCAAGAGGATGCGTGATGTTCATTTTGTTAAAATTTTAAGATTATCTAAATTTTATTTTTATTACCTCAAAATTATATATCAACCAATGATATTGAAAATTTTTGCTTGATAAAAATAGCATAGTTAAAAAAAAAAATTATGATTGGTCACCGTCTAATCGAGCATATCATTGGGTCAGAGGTTAGTCGATATGGCCTGATCATCACCCCGCTAGTTCACCGTTTGGGCAAATCTTGTGGTAATAATCCATGAACTCTGCGGCATTAGTTGGGGTAAGAGTATACTCTAGCAAGGTATATGGTGTAATGGATCCCTCAGTCCTATAGTGATATGGGGCCTTTGCAATAGAAAGAGAAACAGCCGGAAAAATCAAAAGTGAGTTAATGCTAAATTTGAACATATTTCAGCATAAAAATCATATTTGGCATAT